GATTTAAATTGAATCCTTTATTTATAATATTAAAACTCATTGAAATTTACAAATGAGTTAATTTACAACTTAAGCAAAAAGCTATTCTATTTATACAAAATTAATTTGCTACAGCTAACTAATTACTATACTATAAACTAACTATTTTAGTAAACTTCAGCTATAAAATAATAATAAAGATAATAAAATAAAGATATAAAATATACAATAAATTATAATGATGATAAAAATAAAAGAAATAATAAAAATAATAATTATAATAAAAATAATAAATATATAAAGAATTTAATAAAATAATCCAATCAAAATAAATTAGATGAATTAGATGAATTTTGTAAATTCTTCAAATTAAATAAATCAGCCTAATTTTCTAATACAATATGTCAATCAAGAACTTCTTTAATATAATCTATATGAAATTAAATTTAATGACTTATGTAAATTATTTTTTTAAGGTAAATTTTTAACGTTGATAATATTCAATAAGTTTAATAAAAAGTTTAATTAGTGAAATTTTTTGAAAATCTTATTTAAAACTTACTTACAGAAACTATTTAAATCTAAGTCATTAAAATTCTTTTGAAAGGATTTTCAATCTTGTTACTAATTTTTTAAAAAAAAATAAAAAAAATAAATCAAATAAATTAAATATGAAAAAAATTCAATAGAAGTTAAACTTATAGCTTAATTTTCATTAAATAAGTGAAGCTATAAAAATAATAAAAATAATTGCATAAGCAAAATACAAACTAACTAAAATAGTAAAGTAAGATAATAAATTTAAACAGTTTAATTTAAATGAATTAAATAGATTAATAGAATAGGAGTTTTTAAAATTCTTTTTAAAGATATTAAACAATTGACTAAAAAATTTAATAAAGTATATATTAAGTTTTAGTTAAAATATCAACTTTTTCTTATCATACTTTTTCTTTAAGATATAATATAAGGTAAAGTGTTATAATTAAAGATAAATTATGATATTCAAATACTAAAATAAGTTTTAATTTATTAAATATTTTTAAACTTATATTTTTTATATTATTTTATTCTTTAATCAGTTTAAATCCTAATAAATCATTTTTTATATTTGATATAAAATGTAAATCCTTATATTCAGGAAAATTAGTAAAAGAAAGAGTTTCAGTTAATATTAGTTCTTACTAAAATAGTTTTATATAAGTAGTCTTTTTATTAAATTATAATATATTAAATATTTTTTAAATATGTGTATACAACTTTGCTCATTATATATTAGAGTTTGATATTCTGAAAATTTATATCAAGTTAATAAAATTTATTTTTTTAAAAAATCTCATTAAAAATTATTTATATAATATTAGAAGATAATTCAAACATTTTTATTAGTTTATGTAAGATTTCTACAGATCAATTTAAATCAGATTTATTAGAATTTATTAATAAATATAAATTAAAAATTAAAATAAAGTTATATTTATTATTATATTATTCTAATCAGTTATTGATAATTTTTTTTTCTAATTTTAAGTTTTGAGTAGTTTCAGATTTGTTTAAAACCAATTTTAAACTAGTTTAAAACTCAATTGAATAGTCATGAATTAGTTTTGAACATGTTTAAAACTGTTTAATTTAATTAATTAATTAGACATGTCTAAAACTCATCACTAATTAAAATATATAAAATATGACTTATTTTATAATAACTTAATAATTTCATACATGTTATTTTTTATTATTAAGTTATTATTATCCTAAGATTAATAGATTGATTATAAGGTTAACAAATTAGTAATTTCTATTAGATAAATAAATCTTTAAAATATCTAATTCCAAATACTTTTAATAATAAAAAAATTAATATATTAAATAGTATATTTTTTACAATAAATTTATATTTTAATAATATTAATAGGAAAATTTAAATAGTGTACTTATACATTTATGCATTCTTAGGTATGTTGCTACTACTTAGTTTATTTAACATGAAATATAATATATTATTTTTAAAAATATCAAATAGTAAGATATAAGTTAATAAGTTTATTTAAAATTAAAGTGAACTATATTATTTCTTTTAGTTCATTAAACTATTTCTAAACTGTTGATTCCTTAAGATATACAAATAATAATTATTTAATATAAAGGTATTCTTATTAAAGAAATGAATTAATATAAAGATTTTTAATTATATTACTCTAAAACTTAATTATTGATTTTCTTATCTTTATCTCAACTTACTTCAAATCTCTTAAATTTATATTATATGTCATATAATATAAGCTATTATTTCTTTATTAGTTTTAATTATATTTTTACCTATTTTCTATTCTTTTTCCTATTTCTATTTCTGATTTCTTTTATATTCTATCTTCTTATATCCTAAATATAGCTAATTATAAATATATGATTAATTACATCATTAATTGTATCATTATGATTATATAATTTAATACTTTATCTATTTTAACTATATTTGTCTAATAAACATCTATCTTCTATTATGCTATATCATATTATTTTATCTTGTCTTAACTAATATATCATTTTATTTAATAATTATTTTGCTATTTAATAAATTATTATTTAATAATTAATATTTAATAAATTACTATTTGATAATTAGTCCTAAAATAATATGATTATAATAAATAAATATTATATTATATCACATCCCTTAAGTTTCTATTTTTACTTTTTATTCAGTAATAATTTTTTTGAGTTATGAAATCTTATTTGTTATGCATATCTATTTATTATAATTAGAATTAGTTAGGATTAGGATTATGTTTAGTTAAGATTAATGCTAGTATATTATTGGTCAAATATTATATGAATATCACATTATATATAGATATATTAAATATATAATATTTTAAATAAAAGTTTTCTATTAATATATAATTTATATATTATTTAAATTAAAGCTAAAAAGTATTATACTAAATTTTATTAATAATAAATAAAAAAATTTTACTATAAAATATTAGATATTTTTTTATTATTTTAATATATTTTTACTATTTAATATAAAGAATTTAATATTAAATGATAATAATATATAATTTATTATTAATAATTTTATAAATTTTATTTAAATTTTTAATACTAAATTTTTAGTATATTATTATCTAGCTATTAATTAAGCAGACTAAAATACTTAAATGATTAAATAATAGCTAAGTTTAATTCAAATTTATGTTTGTCTAGAAAAGTTTTATTAAAATTCTTATAATAAAGATAAAGAAAAAGCATCATATGCTTTTTTTCAAATCTTATCTTAATATTCATTAATAATCTAAGTTTTAAGTCAGAAAGTATAAAGATTTTATTGACTTAATCTCTCAAAATACTTCTCAAATAATCAAGAATAAGTTTTTAAGTATATAATGATTATATAAATATTAATAAATAAAATAAATCTTTTATTCTTTTAAGTTCATAGAAGTTTATTTGCATAAAGTTTCTTTTTGGTCAACAAATAAATAAATATATTTAAGATTTTATTTTAATAAAACTTTATTAGTTCAAAGTAAAATAAAAGACTTTCTTATATTAATCATATATTATATAAGATATTCTATTATCTACTTGTTTAAAATTTAAGTCAATACATAGTTAATATCTTTTATTATACTTATATTCTAGACTTAATAATAGTTTTTAAAAACTATTTTCTAGTTATTAATAATAAAATAAGATGTGACTTTTTAAAAAATACAATTTATATTCTTATAAATTTACTTTCCAAAAAATTATTTTCATATAATAATTTTAGTGATTATTTATAATAAAATTTGTATACTATTTTCTTATCTTATTACAAAATAACTATGTTATAATTCTCTTATCTATGATTAATGTTCATATTATGTTAAAGTAATTCTATATAATTATTTTATAATAATCCTATAATTAATAACTATATTATTTTATAAAAATGTTCTAATATTTACTCAATTTTTATTACATTCTCTTCTTAGCTTCTTTTCTTTAAAATCTCCCTTTAATATACCTATTTTAGATTTATATCACATATCATCTTGATTAATGATTTCATTTTTCTTTATTAATTATTTTATTTAAGATTTGTATAACATTTTGGCTAATTTTATAAATTTTCTTTATTATAACAATTTCTTATAAATTATTTTTGTTGCAAATCATTTGTATTACAATATAATAATTTTATATTACCAAAAAAACAATTTATTTTTTATATTAATTTCTAAAATATTTTAAAGAATTTAATTATAATTAATAATATTATATTTATATTTTTTTATTATAAGTAAAATTATATATTTTTAATTTGAATAGTTTATTTAATAAATATTAAAAATTAAGTTTATTAATAATTAATTAATTTAAAACAAATGTATAAATTCTTTAAAATTTTTTTGAAATTTATGTATACTTAAAAATAAAATAAAATATAAATTATAAAAAATTTGAATTTAATTATAATTTATTAATAATAAAATTCGAATTTAAAATCAATATTAAGTTTTAGCTTTTTTTTATATTAATAATTGTATTATGTTAAATTTTAATAATAAATATAATAAATTATAATAAATTTAATAAATCTAATAATATATTAATTAAAAAAAAATAAAATGATTTTCACTAATTAAATAAAAATCTTTTTTTTTGTATATGTATGGGACCTTTGCAATAGAAAAAGGAAACGGCTGAATATATTTATAATAATCAAAATCTTTTTAATATATTATAATCCTAAAATCTAAATAAAAGAATATAATAGTATTAAAATATATTTTTATTATCGTTCTATTAATTTAATAATATATTATAAATCTTTAAAATAAATATGCAAAATATGCATTACATACTTTTAGAAATTATTATTATTGTAACACGTAGTTAAAAGTATAATCATACGTTTACCAGCATTATAGTTTTTTTTTTTTTTTTTTTTTTTCAATATATTTGGATACTAATGCTACCGTAATATTTATTTTATTTTTTTTTTCCTTCAATTCGAAAATAAAATTATAATGGATAAATTCAAGGAGGTTGGTTGTAATACTTTTGTTATACATCAAAAAAGTTTTAGTTTTGTAGGATGTCAATACGAATATTTTTTTCAGCGTAGCGGACAGTGGTGTAATTCATAAAGGGGATGTACGTTTATATAGTTGTATATATTTGGGAAATCAATAATCTTACTTCCTCTCTTTTTATCTTTATGAATTAATACTATTGCGTCAATATTCTATTCTGTAAATAGTTTCTATATATACTCTTATATTTTAATCAATTTCAAATTTCAATAATAGAAAATTAGCTCTCTTCGCGGTGAACTTGAGGCTGCTCAAGGTAAACTTACCGAGTCAGAAAAGGACAAGAAAAAAGCTGAAGAAGAGCTTTCGGTAAAGGAACAAGAAAATAGCATGCTTCAAAGGAAAGTTTCTCAACTTGAATCGGATTTAGATGAAGCTGAAAAGGGTTTCAAAGAAGCCACGGAGAAGTAAGTTAAGATTTTTTAAGATTTTTAAGATTTTTTTTAATATAGAAGACGTCATCTTCCGTAACCCATTACTAAAAATATTTTCTAACTTTACGTATGATTTAATTTTTTTCTTCATAGACTTCGCGAGTCTGAAATCAAAATCGAAAACGTCGAACGTCAAAATACTAAACTCGAGCAAGAAAAGGCAGATTTAGAAAAGGAAAACGAGGAATTAAAAGAAAAAATTAAGCAGAAGGAGAAGGAAAATGAAGAAGTTTTAAAATCTATTGCAGATTTGTAAAGAATTCTTATAACAATTCATATCTATTAGTGGAATCATATTTGTATGTATATTATTTTTATTTATTTTGAAAATACTTTTCTAATAGATTATACTATAACCATTATGTTACATATATTACAGATATATTTTATTATTTTTCTTTACTGGTTTTTGTCGGACTTTGTAGACATCATTCTGTTCTTTTGAAAAAGAAAATCAAATTCCGAAAACATCACATTACAACTTTACACTCATTATTGATGCAAATTGATTATCATAAGTTCATTTATTATAATATAACAATATACGAATCATTGCTTACGATTAATAACGGAATTGTCGTTATGACAAATTTTTTTTTTTTCGGCACCAACTTGCATTATGTAATATATACGCAAGGTTGACCAAATCAGCTAAATAAACGAGTCAGTATCTATGTCTAACACAAGGACTTTGCATTATTCTAGTTCTTTTTAGAAATTTAAATATCGATGCATTGCGTGATAAATCGAACAAATCAACAGTTCAAACTACCCGCAAATTCAGGTCCATATTTTAAAATAAACGTAAATCATTTGTTATTTAATTGCATTCATATATGTTAAATGTTTATATTAGTGTTAAAAAGAAACATTGCATGAATACCAAAACTATTCTTTTCAAATTTTTAATGAAAGAAATGTATCAAAGTGCAAAATAACATATTCACTTAATCCGAGTTCGCTTAGCAGAAAAATAACATCTGCATTTGAAATAAGATATCATCATCATTATAATGATTTGCTAATATAAATTTTCAAATTAATTATTTAGCTTTTCATATCACAATTAAAATATGAATTTGAATTAATGGTAAATTATTTTGCTTTAACATACATATAATCTTATTTATTATTTGTTGATAATTTATCTTATTTATATTATTTAATCCTTATTATATTCATTTTGATGACTAATATTACTTCTGTTTTTTTATATAAGAAAGAATTTTTAAATATATATATATAGATTATAAAACTTAGTATTAGATATTATATAATTATTTAAAATAATTATTTCTAAAGTATTTGAAGAAGCTTTTATATAAAAAAATATATCTATGTTTAAAAAAAATTGGCATAGGATAGATGTAAAATTTATTTTGTTAATATTTAAAATTTTTGTATATAAAAGTTTTAAAATATTGATATTATGCTATTCAAGTATTTTATGTGGTATCATATATCATATTATACTTATTTCAATCTGATATATTTTCTTAACAACACTCAAGTATCTTAATAATCTGTTTGTGTAGTGTAAACTTTAAATAGCTTTTTTTTATAAAATTAAATTTAGTAAGATAATTATGTGTATTTATTTTAATTAATTTTTTATTATTTATTAGAAGTATACTATTTTTATTATAAGAAAAAATAATGTATTATATAATAAAAAAAATTTAAAGATACAAATTTGAAAATTATATTCTAAAAAATAGTATATACATATAAACTATACTGTACAGTTAACTAAATCATATTATATAAAAATAATAATAACTAATTATATTTTATTATACAATAAATATAAAAAAATTAAAAAATATATAATAAATTATGATTAGATAAAATATTTTGTATAGTATAATTTAGCTAATTATAATATAGTTTATCTATAGATCCTAAAAAAATATGTGAATTTTTAGTTTACTATATTTTGTTATACAAATTTTTTAATATAAATTTTATTCTTTTTTAATTAAATATAAATCTTTTTACATTAAATTTGTAATATTTATTATAAATATTAGTATTAAGATATTATATTTAAAAAAATACAAAAAAAAAAATATTAAGTAAAATTTAAATAAAAAAAATTTTTTTTTTATAAAAGAAAAATAATTTAGTAAAATAAAAATAAATCATTAAATTTTAATAATAATTATAAATATACTATCTTTAAAAAGCATTTAGCTAGCTAAAATAAATTTATTTATACAAAAATTTTTTAAAATAATATAATATTTAATATTTAGTAAATTATTTTTGATTCTTATCTATATTTTAATTTTATACTACCCTTAGAATAGTATTTGAATAGTCAAAATAAAATTTTATTTATTCAAAAATTATATAATATTTAGTATTTAGTAAGCTATTCTTAATTTTTAATATATGTTTTAATTTATATTACTTTTAAAAAAAGTATTTAATCAATAAAAATAAAATTTTATTTATTTAAAATTTTTTAAATATATAATATTTAGTATATAATAGGCTATTTTTAATTCTTAATACATGTTTCAATTCTATATAGTATGTTTTTTATAAGTTTAATACAAATATGAATGCTATACAATAGAAAGAGAAGAAATTACAAAAAAAAATTTTTTACTTTATAAACTAAATATTATTTCATTTAAATCTATTTCAAATGTTCAATTAAATTAAAGTTTAAAGATTGAAAATACTAATTAAAAGTACTTTAACCTATTTTTAAATAATTCAATTTTTGATATCTCTTACTATATGAATTGAAGAATTATCATCTTAAAATGTATAAGTTTTTTATAATATTTAGATTGAATAAATAACAATAAATTATTTTCTAAAATATCAATATAATTTAACTAGTTCATTTTCCCTCAATTTTCATTAATAGTCTTAATTTTTTTCTAAAAATATTCTTATACTATAATATTATCATCATTATGTTTAACTGTATAAATCAAATTTTTAATATTATATTAGTTACTATTTTCTTATTAAACATGTTTAAGTCTGTCATTTTCAAAATAAGTAAACTATGATTTATCACTTTAAATTATTGATTCATTTTTAAATTAATTAATTTTACCACTTTATATACTATTTTAATTGATTTTTATATTATGATTCTATAAGAGATAGCTTTAACATAGCATTCATAAATGAAAATCTCATTTGATAAAGAATTTTCTAAATAGTATTTTATGAAACTTTTCAGTTTTTTAATTTTAAAAATTGTATAAATTTCACTAAGAAAAGATCAATTATTTTTCTTTAATTTCCTTTAGTATCTGATGATCATTATTATTATGAAAAGTGATCTTTCAATTTTAATCCATAATTGAAGTTAAAATATCAGATAATTATATCTATAATAGTACTTTTTAAAAATTTTAAAATATGAGTTATAACTTTATAAATTCTTTAGCTATTTTGTAAACAGATTTTTTGTTTATATTTAAATTCATTTAATTATGATTTTTCATGTGAAATAGTACAGTTTTAAAAAAAAAAATGTAAAAATCAGAAAGTTTATATTTTGTTTATTTAAACTGACTTATACATTATTATATAAATATAAATATACAGTATAAACATAAATATCAAAATCAAAGGATTTAATTAAAAAAAAGATTGGTTAGTTAATATGTCTGATCTTAAAAATTTAAAAAGAGTTGGCTAGGTACTTTTTTAAGAGTAATATATTTCTTTTTATTCTAAAATATATTTGAATTTATGATTGTGATTATTTGTAAAAAAAATTTATAATAATATTAAAATGTATAGGATTTTTGTAATAGAAAATGAGTTTATATTTTTATTTTAAATATATTTTAGCCTAAAAAAAATCGTACAGTATATCAATATAAAATGTTATAAAGTCTTAATTTTAGTCAAAAAATTTTTCCAGTATCCCATTTTCTAGCAAACTTCCCATATATAGACAAAAAATTTAGTATTTTTCTTTTTGTAAAAGTTATTTTTTTTTATTTTTTCTAATAATAATAATATTTAGTCGAATTTTTTTTTATGATTACTATTTTAATTTTTTTTTTCCTCCGTTATAAAGTTCTATGTCTACACAAAGGATTTTTCTTCCATTTCCGTTAAAATACCAAACTAATTCTTGCAATAAAATTGATAATATAATTAGTTATACTGAAGATTTAATAAATTTTTGTAAACAATATAATAGCTTAGCAGAAGCTCATATTGTAGATTTTTTCATAAATGATACTTGGGAAATTATACCAAAAGAGTGGAGAGACGTATTTGAAGTTGAGCTCGAAAATATAATTAGAGAAAATAATTATGGAAGTAATAAAGAAAGAAATTTTGTGAATAAAATGATTAGACTTGCTAGTTTTCATGAATATGAGGTAAAATAATAATAAAAAAACGTTGGCTGAAAAATAGATAAATTGAAAAAATATATATTTTTGTTTTATAAAATGATAGGAAGATTGGCCCGAGTCTTTGAAAAAATTTATTAGAGATACTAAAGAGTTGGTGTTGTCGCGTGATATATCAGTTGATGGTAAGATTAAATCAAATCCTTCTATTATATATATATATATATATATATATGATTAATAATGTGAAAATTTTAGTTAGACGGATGGAATGCGAAAAATCAATTGATAAACGTATATTACCGGGAATGAATGAAAAAAAGTTGCACGAGGTGATTATTTTGGTTATTTTTATTTTATTACAAATCTATTCTTTTTAATATAGTCAATCATTTCCAGGTTAAAATATTGAGTAACTTAATAGCATCATTAGCAAAAGATAATAAAATCAATTCAATTATTGACTTAGGGGCGGGTCAGGTAAGTAACTTTTATACAACTTGTACCTTTATATCACGGTACTACTTATAGAATGTTAATTATCATCATTTTATAGGGATATTTAAGCAGAGTATTAGCATATACACATAACCTTTGTGTATGTGCTATAGATGCAAGTAATGTGCAGACATGTGGCGCACAAAAATATCAATTTCGTACTGAAAAAAGTCTCGGATTTTTACGTAAAGGTAAAAACGAAGAGGAAAGAAAAAGAAATGGATGTTTAAACCATGTTACACAACATGTAACATCTGAAACTTTGACTAGTCTAATAACAGAATGGAATAAAGGTAGTAACAAGCATATTGAAGCCAATGAAAATACGGGTTACGTTAGAGATGTTGAAGCTGCCACGAATGTTAAGGACGTCAAAGAGAAAGATCTGAAAGTTGAAACTTGTTCAAATAAACAGGTAGAACAGGATGATGATAATTATTTAATTTGCGGATTACATTCATGTGGACAATTATCCAGTACGATGTTGGATTTATTTATTAAAAATGAAAAAATTAAATGTGTAACAAATGTAGGATGTTGTTATCATCTACTTGATGAAAATGAAATTTTTGAACACGGGAATTCAAATGGTACTACAATTTAATTAACGTTTTTGGTATAAAGAAATGATTTTTTAAAAATATATATATTTATTTTATTTTTATATGAAATTAGATGAGAAATATTCATCATTTCCGTTAAGTAAATTTTTTAAAGAAAAAAAATTTTATATGGGATCAACTATCAGACATCTTGCATGTCAAGTACCATCTAGATGGTCAAATCAGCAAGAATCAAGTATTAATGCATTTGAACATCACTTTTATCGTGCATTATTACAAGTTAAGTTTTTCCTTTTTCCTTGATAACATTTTTTAAAATATAAAGCTAACTCTCATTTTTTTCTCTCCTAGTATATTTTATTTAAGAAAGAATTAATCAAAGATACGCCAAGAATAGGAAAATTACGCCGTCGAGATTTTACATCATTTTCAGCGTATTGTGCAGCTGCACTAAAAAAGCTATCTCTACCATTAAATTGTATAACACAAGTAGAATCAGAACATTATTATCATGAATACAAAAAAAATGGATTTATGCATAAAATTATTATATTTTGGACATTAAGAGCTTTGTTAGGACCTTGTTTTGAAAGCATTATATTGTTAGATAAATGTTTATATTTATTTGAATATAATATAGTAAGGGAAATTAAATGTTTTGGTATATTTGACGAATTAAAAAGCCCTAGAAACATGGTTATTGTTGGATTAAAATAGATTGATATCATCAAATATAAATATGAATATATAATGATCTTTTTTTTTTTTTTTCTTTAAACTATTGAATGATATACGCGTTCAACAGTTTCTAAAGCAAGTTTCACTGTGCTTTCAACAATTTCCTTTAAATTAATAAAGAAAAAAAAATGAATTAATTTTTAATATAAAGAAACGCGTTTAAACACATTACTTTGATGACTTACTTTAGCGGATAATTCATTGTGAATTAATCCGATGCCAGTACCGGCATAAATGACCTAACAAAAACACAGCCGATTAAATCGATTTCATTAATTTAAATCCAGAAATTCATTTAAGACATACCGCTCTAGAATAATCTTTTTCTAAAGTAGCTTCTTTATAAATCCTTTTTCTTTCATTGATGCCATCCTCTTCATCAGCCAATTTTTCCCATTCTTCGACAGTCTTATTTTTAATCGCTCTACCGTCCCATTGAGAATCCCAAACATTCTTTTCTTGTAATTTATCAAATAATTGCGTTCTAACAGTATTTTTAGCTCCATCATTAGTGTCGATAATACACTGTTTAGCATTTGGATGACTAGAAGATTCTTTACTAACTACAAATCTTGTACCCATTACAACCCCATCTCCACCAAGCATTAAGATTGATGCCAAACCTCTGCCATCAGAAATTCCTCCTGCAGCTAACACAATTGGCTTTTTCAGTTTCTCATCATTGATACCCCTGGACGAATATATTTGATTTAATTGATCAATAGTTTCAGGTATTAAAGTTGATGTAGATGAATTATTCATTAATCCATGACCACCACTTTCATTTCCTTGCATGACAATCACGTCTGCTTCGTTATTATATGCATATATTGCTTGTTCTATAGTCTGTACTTGAGCAAAAATTTTCGTATTAGGAGATAATGAACGTACTATGATAACATATTTTTCAAAATCACCAAATGAAAACCAAATAGCTATTGGTTTATAAGAGAGAGATAAATGAAGGACTGATCTGGAAAAAGGTAATGATAATTGAGAGTCTAATGCAAATGTCATAAATCCTATTCCAATTGGTAAGTTGCCATTAATTGGTTTAATGTGAGGTTGTAATAATTCGTGAGCCGTTTTTAATTCTTTTTCGAATTCTTCATAAGACAAATATCCTAATGGTTTGAATGGTTTTGTATGATCGATTAAAATATGATCAAAACAAATATAAGGGAAAAAGAATGATTAAATACAAACCAATCTGTAAAAAGCCCAAACCTCCTGCTAAACTAACTTCACTTGCTAGTTTGCCATTAGTTATTTTTGCCATAGGAGCTTGAACAATTGGATGTTTTATGCCATATTCTTTAAATAATTTAGTAAATTCTGTATTAAATGACATTATTAAATACAAAATTTTTACAAAAGTTTTATAATCATTATTACAGAACAGAATGAGTGTATTTATAATAAAAAGATAAAAGAAATAAATTGATTACTAAGTTTCATTGATTCAATTCTTGTTTTTAACGATTGCAGATCCTTACTGCAAATACATGATTGCTCATGAAAAAGCGTTATTATATATCATTATAAATTATTAATCAATAAATAAAAGTATTATTAATGCAAAGTGAGAGATTTAAACTAAAACAATTCATCATCATCATCAGATAACGGTTTGAGTATAAATCTTCGTATCACATCTTTTTTTGGTGGTGGTATTGAGATTTGATCTTTAGGTTCTCTCTGCAATGCAAGTGGCGTAGTCGGATCAAGAATTTCTAAATTCTCCTGAACGTCCAATTCCTCGCTTGTATCATTATGGAATTCATTGTTGGTACTTGCTTCAGAATCAACCCTGTTGACAAATTCTCCCATTTTTTGTAATACAAGGGTGGAATTATCTGGAGTTGAAGTCAATATAGGAAGCATATCATGCCAGTCTTCAACTTCGCTACTATCGTTACTTTGTTCAGAGTCGATATCTTTTTGATTAGCAATTTCATTATCGTGCTAAAATTAAACCTAATTAACATCTTTTTAAATTTTATAATAAGGAAATTTTTTTTTTGATTTACCTCATCTTCATTTGCATTATCATTACCAATTTTAGTGAAGCTCGCTTGATTTTCAATCTTTTTATCATCTTTATTAAATTCTTTATTCTTTTTCAATATACTCCGTTGAATGTGATTTTTATCAGATGAAGTATCAACAAACTCTTCTACTATAACTCTTTTACCTAGTAATCCCCTATTAACAGATTTTGATTTCAATGCTCTTTCAGCAATTTCTTTTTGTTTTCTTCCACCGCCTCCACCACGTTTTTTATTATTTCTTCTCCTATTATTCTTCGATTCTTCTGTAGCGAAACTATTTTGATTTCTCTTTCCTATATCAGAATCCCTTTCAAACTTCTTGAAATCGGTATTTTTGGATACTTTATTATTCTGCTGTTGCAATTCTGAAAACTCATCAAAAACGTCATTTAATTTTCTATATGAAGTTGCTAATGCCAATTCATTTTCACTAATAATATGTCCTAAAATAAATGGTGATGGCACACCTTGATTTTTCTTTTCAGTATTCTCTTGTAATTTTAAATCGGATGAGGCATCTACGTTAGCTCTTTTGATATTAGTACTGCGCCATCGAACTACAGATCACATGACTAAAGCGACAGCTTACCTTTGCCTATATCGAGCATTGGTTCATTTTGTTGATTTCCTTCCAACATTTCATCATTTTGTATAACTTCGATCTTATTATCATTAGCTTTTCTTTTTTTATAAGTAAATTTTGGTTGAAAATCATTTGTAGTAGAAGTAAAATTAGTTATATTAAAAGAAGACATTCGAATGGAAGAAATGATTTATACAGGGTAGTTAATTCGATAATTTAAAAAGAGAGAATTTAAACTTTTTTTTTATCATAGTAGTTCGCCTTTTAGCCAATCATATTTCATATCACATGATCCAGAAGTTTATACAACTGATAATACGCCCACCTCCAGAAATGGAAATAAAATTCTAAACAGCAACTTAATTGTTTTGATCTGCGCAAACTTTTTTTTTTGATCAGAGAAAATGGCTACTTTTAAATTCTGTAAACTATGGTAAATAATACAATCGAGCACAATTCTTTATCTATTTCTTAAGGTTAACGCTCTTTATTATCATTAACAGCAGTAATTTGTTATATCCAAGAGAAGATAAAGAAGCTCACAAATTATTTTATGCCTGTCGTAATTGTATTCATCAAGAAGAAACCGAAAACAAATGCGTTTATAGAAACGAGATTATGCAATCAGCGAAGTACTTTTTTTTTTTTTTAAAAAAAAAAAGAGAAAAAAAATTTTTTAAGTTAAATCAAATAAATTTTAATTTATTAAAGTGAAACTACTACAATTATTCGGGACATAGCTTGCGATCCTACGTTGGTAAGCAATATTTTTATTATTATATTATTATTATTATTTGGTATGACCGGTTATAAACAAAATATTTTAAAGGCACGTACGGAAAAAGAATGTCCAGAATGCGGCTACACAGAAGCAGTATATTTTGAACAGCAGTCACGTCGTTCGGGTCGTTCAGATACTAAAATGGTATTATATTATGCTTGTGCAAATACTGAATGTGGATACCGTTGGACGGATCTTAATATTGATAATAAGCCGAAACAACAAGATGAGGATAATATATCTGAAGGAGGATATATTGAAGATGAGAACTACATGAACGAAATGTTATATACTCAAGGACTAGAAAGTGCATATCAAGGTATATATATTTCTATACAGATTATATATATATATATATATATTTCATATATTTACTTACAGTACAATTCAATTTATGATTTTTTTTTTTGATTTAAATAAAAAATTTCCGATTAGATCCTATGTATTTAAATAATAATAATACAACAATTCTTGAACCTGAAATATCCGATCCTACATCTAATTTACAAAAGCAAGAATATCACAATCCAGAAGATTGGTGATTTCATTTTTCCCTCATTCCAAAGCCCCAGCACTTTTCAATTTAGAAATTAAATCATCTACAGAATCTACTTTAGTTCCACCTTTTCTAACTGGTGGATCTGTTACAGAAATATTTTCTAATCTTGGAGTAACGTCAACCTTTAATTGTTCGGGTGTAAATTTTTCTAAAGGTTTTTTCTTTGCCTTCATAATATTAGGAAGAGTAACGAATCTAGGTTCATTTAACCTTTATGAAATGATAAATAAAAATAAAATTATTGTTTCTGATTAAAAATATTCTTTTTTTTTTTAAAAAAAAAAAGAAAAAAAAATTACCTTAAATCAGAAGTCACTATAGCCGGTAATTTGCTGCTAATAGTTTCCAAACCACCATCAATTTCACGCGTTACTGTAAGCTTGTCACCATTTATCTCCATTTTTGATGCAAAAGTTGCCTAAAAAAAGAATCAAAAAGATAAATTTCATAAAGAAGCACATGCTAAAGAGTGGCTTATTTACCTGAGGCCAATTCAAAAGTCCAGCTAACATTTGACCAGTCTGATTAGCATCATCATCAATAGCTTGTTTGCCAAGAATAATTAAATTTGCTTGTTCTTTTTCGATTATAGCTTTAAATAACTTTGCAACTGCTAGAGGTTGTAATGTGTTTGTCGTCTCACTATCGTTTTTACCCACTTCAACATGTATAGCTCTATCTACTCCCATGGCTAAAGCTGTTCTAAGTTGTTCTTGTGATTTTGGAGGTCCACATGTTAAAGCAATAATTTCTTTTACTACATTATTACCTAATTTCTCTCTTAACCTTAATGCTTCTTCTACTGCAATTTCATCAAATGGATTCAGAGAATGCTTAACATTTGCCGTTTCTACTGCTGATTTCGCTGAATTAACTCGGACCTTTACTGCATAATCTATTACTCTTTTACACCCTAGTATTAAATACAAGGAAGAGAAAAAAAGATTTAAATAATAAACTTAATTGAAATTGATTTATGTATGGACTTACCGACAAGAATTTTTAAATTAGACATCGTTTAAAATTTTTTTGTTGAAAAGGAACAAGATTGCATTATTATTTTTTTTTTTTTTTTTTTTTTGGATCAATAAATTATCGGTCGATCGAATAGAGATTTCTTTATCAAAAAATAAATTATCAACTCCTGGATACAAACTATTCATCTATAATTATCCTACATTATATATAAATGGAAACGGTTAGAAAAAAATCATATTTGGCATATAAAGTATCCCTTTTCTATTGCAAAGGTCCCACATTATAATATAACTAGCCAATAATTTTTTTTCTCCAATACCCACCATAAAATTGTATGTTGTATAATATTACATTTAGGGTTAGTTTGAAAAAATCGTTTTTATTTTTTTAGTTTATATATATTATATATTTTTATAAATGTAGTTAATAAATCTTTTTGTTATAATATTTAATTAATATTTTTTTTTAATGATAATATTGTAATTTGAATAAAGATAAGTCATATGATAAGTTAATATGAATTGATTGGTTAATTATAATTTATAATGAATTTATTTATTATAAGAAATATTATTAAAAGTTATATAATGATTTTCTTTTTAGAATGTTTTTGTTAAGAATTATGAGGGTTAAATCCTAATATTCTATATAATCTTTCATATTCTAGAAGCATATTTTGATTTGTTATAAATGCTGAGTGATCAAGATAAGATATTTTAACATTATTCTAAGTAGGACATCTATTAAGAACAACATAAACTTGTCTATAAGAAAATATATTTCCATCTAATGTAAGAGATACTTTTGATAAGGTTAAACCTTGAGTTTTGTAAACAGTAAGATTGAATGAATTTTGAAGTAGAAATTGTGTACAGTTACAGTTGCTTTTATATATTCAAAATAATGAGTTTATTTGTAAATTATTGTATCAAATGATAAAATCTTTAACTGAAAATACAATACAAACAGATTGATCTATAAGATTATGATCAATGATAATTCCTATTATACTATTACATATTTTTTATTCAATTAATAAATTATTAAGATACATAATATGTATTTCTAGTTGTAATTTAATTGAAAAAGATAGATTAGTTCTAGTTTTAAAGATATTTTCAGATGATAAGTTCTATTATGTAGAATCTATAAAATTAATAAATTAAAAGATTAGAAATTTATTATCAGATACAAGAAGCATTCTATTGATTTGTTGAACAATTTTTCTAAAGTCTATAACATTAGTAGTATTAAGAAGAATATCAATTGTAGGATGTGTTAAAAATTCAGAATGTTATTATTAAAGAATTTATCAAGTTTTTTAGAAGTAAAATTGCCTATTTAGATTTCTTGTAACATTTGATAAAATTTATTATCAATTTATTGACATTGAAGGATTTTAAAAATAAAATAAGGATTAAGTAAATATACGAAATACTAGTTAACCATTAATTAGAGATAATTATATAAAATCACTAAAAATTATAATATTTATATTATCAAATGTTATAGCATTATTTTTAAGATTTGTAAATATATTTAATATAAAATCAAAAAGTTTATTAAATACTATAGATATTTTATCTATGATTATAGTATCAATTTTTTTAGGTTATTATTTAATTTTTTATTTGTATAAGTTTATATATAAAAATTTTCTTAAATAGTTGTAATATATAATGTAAAGTGAATGATTCTTCCTCTTATATTTTATGCAGCAATACTAATTGAAGTTAATAATAAGTAATTTAAATTTTTCTATTAAGTAGATTTATTATTAAATTAATAATATAAGATTTTCTGATTCCTTCAGATTTAGTAATAAAGTAATATGATCATTTTATATTATTATTTTTACCTAAATATAAGAAAATAGTTAATAAGATATAATATTAGTCTTGAAGTAATTCAAGGATTATTATCTCTGAAATATATGAAAAAGTATTTTGATATTTCTAATTATTATTATATTATATTATAAATATTAATAGAAATTTCTTTATATAATATATATAATAATCTATTTAATATTTCTATAAATTAATTATTTAAATGTGTTATATATAATTAATGCATATTTACAGTTCAGTTTTATAGATTAATTAAAAAATCAGAAAATAGTAATAAGAATTTTTTATAATATGTTTCCATTTGATCTAATTTTATAAATAAATTCATTTTATACAAAAATGTTTAAGAATAATTTTTGATAAAAATATAATTCAATATCTTTAAGTTTAAGAAATTGATATCTAATTATTATTTCTTTTAAATATTTTACAACATATTTTATTATATATTTTGTAAATCCTTTATCTGTTATATATTAAGTATTCATATGAGTATTCTATAATAAAAGAATAATAGGATAATATGAAATTATCTAAAAATCTATATTAGTTAAACATTTATATATTATATGTAGCAGTAATTTTCTTTATTTATAATAGATTATTTCAATATAAAGATAAGAAAAATCTTTTTTGCAAGTTTAACCTGATAGTATTAGATCTTGACATTTTTCATTATATGTGTGAATCTAATTAACTATTATAGCTATATATAATTTAGGTTTATATAGAGGATCAAATAATATTGAATAGATTATATCATTTGTAATCATTATTTCTATAGAATTTGTGATCTAATAATAGCTATATAAATAAACTATATTCCCATTTTGAAATTTAACTCTATTAAAAAATTTAGTAATTATGCCAAAATTGGTAAATTCTGATTTTTATATAATTTTTTTTTAATGATTAAAATTTGTATATAAAGTAATTTATATAATATAAAGTCTATTTATAGATAGAGTATCATAATTATTACTATTGATAAGTATATTATAAAA